GAGCAATATCACCACAGTACAAAAATCTGAAAAAAAGAAAATCTGAACTAAAAATCAAAGAGTTGCTTTATAGTTCATCTTTTCATCAGTTATGTTGTAAAGAATAATATCCGTAAAAACATTCAAGAAAAAATGATTTTTAAGACGTGCATTACTTTGTATGTTATTCACACACACACTCTCTCTCTCTCAAAATTGTGTGTAAAATGCAGTTTTTGATTTTGTACTTTTTTGACTTGAAAAAATTCTAAACTTTTACAGATAAATCTAATTCTAAAAAAAGAAATCATTACAAAAGATTTCTCTACATACATTATCTTGCTTTTACAATCAATTTTCCCCTTAAAGTATAATAGATCTGATTTAAAACTAACTGTAATTGTAACAACTTATTTTTCTTCTTTAAAACATTTCATTTCAATTGGATATGATTACATTTTTGAAATATAAATAGAAACAAATTTTATGAATCAATTTTTACCTCAGGAGAACATCAAATGAGGGGGGTTCAATGTCAGGAATTTTTATTTTCTTAGCTTCCGCCAGGTCTCCATAAAACATGGCGTCAAGCACGGGACTTCTGCTCGCTAGAACATATTTATGAGCGCGAACAAGCTTTTCTTCTTTTCCCACTAAAAATGTGACATCACTATGGATCTCATTTTTAAGCATATATCTGTTACATTCAGAAACACCTAGGCCGGAACGCCAGTTCTTCGAAGTCTTGACTTCAGTCATCTAAATAGGAAAAACCCCTACATAAACAAATACATGGGCGCAGACATTTTGGACACCCAAAGTTGTGCGGAGGAGAAAATGCTAGCTGGCGCGTGATTGGTCAATAAGAGAAAAGACTTGTTATGTATTTGACAAGTGAAATAAAGTTGATAAAAATCTCATATCAAGACTTGGGTTTCTTTGAGGTATATAGGAGTTACAGGTAAAAATTTGAAGGGAGGGGATGCACTTTGGTTAGAGATTTTCATTTGGTGTCAAACGCACCTAGTTGTAAACAAATGGAAATTGAAAGTAAAAGTGCAACGGCACGGTATATTTTTTCTGGCATTTTTTGTTTTCCAATATCTCGAACTTTCACGACAAAAAGGTCATTTGCCCGAAATTCAATACATGTATCAGTGAGAGGGGCTAAAGTTTGTATGGAAGTCTATGGGAAAACATTTGGTGGTGTTTGTCCTATAGAATAGGTATGATTTCATGGATAAAAATTGATTACAGCCAAAAAATCAGTCAGTTCCTATAATTTTGGCATTGGGATTATATTTTAGTTAGTTTTGACTATTTGTTTAAAAATTAGAGGGTTTGGGTAAATTGAGGCTCACAATGGGGACTGCACATAGTGAAAAAATACCAAAATTTTTGCCCTAGCTCTCATATTTTCAATAAATGTTCATGTAAATAATTTTAAATAAATATTTATACCGAAATTTACTGTGAATATTGTAAATAATACAATATCAATATTTATGGGCATCATCAATACACAAAACATATGAATATCCCCCTCGCAGTTTGAGAAATGCATTTAAATCCATGTGTTTTTTTGAGTGTAGACATTGGAACAGATTGAGTAATCCTCTTTCAAATTTGTGTTAATCAGAGTTGATTGAATAATTTATAACAAAATTTGACTGCTGTTAACTAATTAGGTTACTTTGTTTTTACATAAGGGGCATAATCCAGCAGAAAAGCCAGTTTTAGTCATGTAATCAGTGCTGGCTTGAAATAAAAGTTATACTTTTGGTGAAACTTGGAGATTACTTGTAGGAAATTTAATTGAAATTACAGTACAATATATTTTTTCAGAAAATACATTGAAAATGCAATAAATATGCAAAATTATAACTGAAAAAATTATGAAAAAGGTGTCTGAATATCCCTCCTCCTTGCCATATCCATCTTGTTATTCTGCTGAAAAGGGGGGGGGGGTAATTTTGTGCTCTAATCATGCTGAAAAATGAAGGAATTTTGTTTAAATTTGGTTTATTTGAATAACAAGAGTCATGTTTATCTGCAGTTATTTTTTTTTCAATTTCTTTGATATTTTTTAAAATAATTATCTGAGTAAATTCTATTTCAACATGATTATTTTAAAGGTATTACATCACAAATGCTTAAAAAAATTCAAAAGATGGTGTAAATAATAAAAGAAATTATTATATAAGCTACTAGATGCATTTATCAGTATGTTTTAATAAAATAAAATGTATTTCAGCAATGCATTATCAAGAAGGAAGAGATTAATGAACCCTACCCTCTTACAATGAACAACACATGGACACTCTCGGGATGATCCCTTTGCTTTCATTAAGAGTTCCAAGGTATGGTTTTCTTAGAAAATCTAGTTAATCTCTTAATATTTAAGTTATTTAGAACTTTTTATAGATTATCAGAAAATAAATTTCCTCAGAACTGCAGTTATTTAAACACTTTGCGTACAATTGAGCACTGTATTCAGTCAGACAATATGATTTATCTGCCCTTGGCATTTAATCAATTTATTAATTATGTCAATAATAAGAAATGATATGCAAATAAATATATTTGCCTTTTATGAGAATATACATATTTAACATCAATTACATGAAATGTTCATGAAAATTGGCTAAAATGTAGGTCACCCCCTTCAAAATTACAAAATTTTCAGTGGGGATGTATTTGATTCTCTGATGCCAGCAACCCACTGCTGATAGAATTTGTTTTAATCTTATGTACATTTGAACTAGATATAATTCTCTTTCTTTCCATTGATTATTTTATCTACATTAGTTTTCACTCTTTCCATAACCCAGCTTTTTCTTACAAAAACCTGCTGATTTTCTTCATTTTTCATTAATAACGGGTACCTGCTACCCTGAATGATTAACATGATCTACCTTGAGAAATTATTAGAGATAATAAGAAAAACAAGCAAAACATATGCTAGATTAATCATTTTATTTTAAAAGTTTGAAAGAAAAATAGAAAAATGCTTCAATTTATAGACATCTTTTCTGTTTCACAGATGTTGGTCTGATTGACTGGGGTGTGAAATGTAACAGCCAATGGTGTACTTAAGCTAAGACTGTCAGTCCCAATATTCAAGAGGTGAGATAAGCAATGGATATGTGTTCTAAATTTACTAAATTGACCACTTTTTATAAATGTTTCTTTTACTCTATAGGAAAAACCCCTACATAAACAAATACATGGGCGCAGACATTTTGGACACCCAAAGTTGTGCGGAGGAGAAAATGCTAGCTGGCGCGTGATTGGTCAATAAGAGAAAAGACTTGTTATGTATTTGACAAGTGAAATAAAGTTGATAAAAATCTCATATCAAGACTTGGGTTTCTTTGAGGTATATAGGAGTTACAGGTAAAAATTTGAAGGGAGGAATGCACTTTGGTTAGAGATTTTCATTTGGTGTCAAACGCACCTAGTTGTAAACAAATGGAAATTGAAAGTAAAAGTGCAACGGCACGGTATATTTTTTCTGGCATTTTTTGTTTTCCAATATCTCGAACTTTCACGACAAAAAGGTCATTTGCCCGAAATTCAATACATGTATCAGTGAGAGGGGCTAAAGTTTGTATGGAAGTCTATGGGAAAACATTTGGTGGTGTTTGTCCTATAGAATAGGTATGATTTCATGGATAAAAATTGATTACAGCCAAAAAATCAGTCAGTTCCTATAATTTTGGCATTGGGATTATATTTTAGTTAGTTTTGAGTATTTGTTTAAAAATTAGAGGGTTTGGGTAAATTGAGGCTCACAATGGGGACTGCACATAGTGAAAAAATACCAAAATTTTTGCCCTAGCTCTCATATTTTCAATAAATGTTCATGTAAATAATTTTAAATAAATATTTATACCGAAATTTACTGTGAATATTGTAAATAATACAATATCAATATTTATGGGCATCATCAATACACAAAACATATGAATATCCCCCTCGCAGTTTGAGAAATTCATTTAAATCCATGTGTTTTTTGAGTGTAGACATTGGAACAGATTGAGTAATCCTCTTTCAAATTTGTGTTAATCAGAGTTGATTGAATAATTTATAACAAAATTTGACTGCTGTTAACTAATTAGGTTACTTTGTTTTTACATAAGGGGCATAATCCAGCAGAAAAGCCAGTTTTAGTCATGTAATCAGTGCTGGCTTGAAATAAAAGTTATACTTTTGGTGAAACTTAGAGATTACTTGTAGGAAATTTAATTGAAATTACAGTACAATATATTTTTACAGATAATACATTGAAAATGCAATAAATATGCAAAATTATAACTGAAAAAAATATGAAAAAGGTGTCTGAATATCCCTCCTCCTTGCCATATCCATCTTGATATTCTGCTGAAAAAGGGGGGGGGGGTAATTTTGTGCTCTAATCATGCTGAAAAATGAAGGAATTTTGTTTTAAATTTGGTTTATTTGAATAACAAGAGTCATGTTTATCTGCAGTTATTTTTTTTCAATTTCTTTGATATTTTTTGAAATAATTATCTGAGTAAATTCTATTTCAACATGATTATTTTAAAGGTATTACATCACAAATGCTTAAAAAAATTCAAAAGATGGTGTAAATAATAAAAAATTATTATATAAGCTACTAGATGCATTTATCAGTATGTTTTAATAAAATAAAATGTATTTCAGCAATGCATTATCAAGAAGGAAGAGATTAATGAACCCTACCCTCTTACAATGAACAACACATGGACACTCTCGGGATGATCCCTTTGCTTTCATTAAGAGTTCCAAGGTATGATTTTCTTAGAAAATCTAGTTAATCTCTTAATATTTAAGTTATTTAGAACTTTTTATAGATTATCAGAAAATAAATTTCCTCAGAACTGCAGTTATTTAAACATTTTGCATACAATTGAGCACTGTATTCAGTCAGACAATATGATTTATCTGCCCTTGGCATTTAATCAATTTATTAATTATGTCAATAATAAGAAATGATATGCAAATAAATATATTTGCCTTTTATGAGAATATACATATTTAACATCAATTACATGAAATGTTCATGAAAATTGGCTAAAATGTAGGTCACCCCCCTTCAAAATTACAAAATTTTCAGTGGGGATGTATTTGATTCTCTGATGCCATCAACCCACTGCTGATAGAATTTGTTTTAATCTTATGTACATTTGAACTAGATATAATTCTCTTTCTTTCCATTGATTATTTTATCTACATTAGTTTTCACTCTTTCCATAACCCAGCTTTTTCTTACAAAAACCTGCTGATTTTCTTCATTTTTCATTAATAACGGGTACCTGCTACCCTGAATGATTAACATGATCTACCTTGAGAAATTATTAGAGATAATAAGAAAAACAAGCAAAACATATGCTAGATTAATCATTTTATTTGAAAAGTTTGAAAGAAAAATAGAAAAATGCTTCAATTTATAGACATCTTTTCTGTTTCACAGATGTTGGTCTGATTGACTGGGGTGTGAAATGTAACAGCCAATGGTGTACTTCAGCAAAGACTGTCAGTCCCAATATTCAAGAGGTGAGATAAGCAATGGATATGTGTTCTAAATTTACTAAATTGACCACTTTTTATAAATGTTTCTTTTACTCTATAGGAAAAACCCCTACATAAACAAATACATGGGCGCAGACATTTTGGACACCCAAAGTTGTGCGGAGGAGAAAATGCTAGCTGGCGCGTGATTGGTCAATAAGAGAAAAGACTTGTTATGTATTTGACAAGTGAAATAAAGTTGATAAAAATCTCATATCAAGACTTGGGTTTCTTTGAGGTATATAGGAGTTACAGGTAAAAATTTGAAGGGAGGAATGCACTTTGGTTAGAGATTTTCATTTGGTGTCAAACGCACCTAGTTGTAAACAAATGGAAATTGAAAGTAAAAGTGCAACGGCACGGTATATTTTTTCTGGCATTTTTTGCTTTCCAATATCTCGAACTTTCACGACAAAAAGTTCATTTGCCCGAAATTCAATACATGTATCAGTGAGAGGGGCTAAAGTTTGTATGGAAGTCTATGGGAAAACATTTGGTGGTGTTTGTCCTATAGAATAGGTATGATTTCATGGATAAAAAATGATTACAGCCAAAAAATCAATCAGTTCCTATTTTTTTGGCATTGGGATTATATTTTAGTTTGTTTTGACTATTTGTTTAAAAATTAGAGGGTTTGGGTAAATTGAGGCTCACAATGGGGACTGCACATAGTGAAAAAATACCAAAATTTTTGCCCTAGCTCTCATATTTTCAATAAATGTTCATGTAAATAATTTTAAATAAATATTTATACCGAAATTTACTGTGAATATTGTAAATAATACAATATCAATATTTATGGGCATCATCAATACACAAAACATATGAATATCCCCCTCGCAGTTTGAGAAATGCATTTAAATCCATGTGTTTTTTTGAGTGTAGACATTGGAACAGATTGAGTAATCCTCTTTCAAATTTGTGTTAATCAGAGTTGATTGAATAATTTATAACAAAATTTGACTGCTAACTAATTAGGTTACTTTGTTTTTACATAAGGGGCATAATCCAGCAGAAAAGCCAGTTTTAGTCATGTAATCAGTGCTGGCTTGAAATAAAAGTTATACTTTTGGTGAAACTTAGAGATTACTTGTAGGAAATTTAATTGAAATTACAGTACAATATATTTTTACAGATAATACATTGAAAATGCAATAAATATGCAAAATTATAACTGAAAAAAATATGAAAAAGGTGTCTGAATATCCCTCCTCCTTGCCATATCCATCTTGATATTCTGCTGAAAAAGGGGGGGGGGTAATTTTGTGCTCTAATCATGCTGAAAAATGAAGGAATTTTGTTTTAAATTTGGTTTATTTGAATAACAAGAGTCATGTTTATCTGCAGTTATTTTTTTCAATTTCTTTGATATTTTTTTAAATGATTATCTGAGTAAATTCTATTTTAACATGATTATTTTAAAGGAATTACATCACAAATGCTTAAAAAAATTCAAAAGATGGTGTAAATAATAAAAAATTATTATATAAGCTACTAGATGCATTTATCAGTATGTTTTAATAAAATAAAATGTATTTCAGCAATGCATTATCAAGAAGGAAGAGATTAATGAACCCTACCCTCTTACAATGAACAACACATGGACACTCTCGGGATGATCCCTTTGCTTTCATTAAGAGTTCCAAGGTATGATTTTCTTAGAAAATCTAGTTAATCTCTTAATATTTAAGTTATTTAGAACTTTTTATAGATTATCAGAAAATAAATTTCCTCAGAACTGCAGTTATTTAAACATTTTGCATACAATTGAGCACTGTATTCAGTCAGACAATATGATTTATCTGCCCTTGGCATTTAATCAATTTATTAATTATGTCAATAATAAGAAATGATATGCAAATAAATATATTTGCCTTTTATGAGAATATACATATTTAACATCAATTACATGAAATGTTCATGAAAATTGGCTAAAATGTAGGTCACCCCCCTTCATTCAGTGGGGATGTATTTGATTCTCTGATGCCAGCAACCCACTGCTGATAGAATTTGTTTTAATCTTATGTACATTTGAACTAGATATAATTCTCTTTCTTTCCATTGATTATTTTATCTACATTAGTTTTCACTCTTTCCATAACCCAGCTTTTTCTTACAAAAACCTGCTGATTTTCTTCATTTTTCATTAATAACGGGTACCTGCTACCCTGAATGATTAACATGATCTACCTTGAGAAATTATTAGAGATAATAGGCCGACGGGTTTTGAGGCAAAATGGAATTCTTCGGATGACAGTCGTCAGTTTATCAGCCCTTGTCTTGCCTGATTTTGACCTCTTTTTTTGTCGGTCGACCAATTTTGCGTCTATCGGTCCAAGTTATGATTTTTATGCGTCGGTGGCCGATTCCTTCAATTGAAAATATCCGTCGACCAACCTTCGATCATCGTCCGACTATCGGTGGTCAGTTTATTAAGCGGTTGTCTGTTGTTGAAAAATAAGGGTGTTATCCGCTTAAAATTTGCTCGACGCTTAAAATCAAACTGTAGCTCAGAGCTCGATGATCGGACAACGATTGGCCGACTTGTGAATATTTAACCTAGTAAGCAGGGTTCTCCACAAGGGGTTTTACCATGGCGGCCCGCCTTGGTTAAATTTATGTTCGCCATGGTTAAAAAAGCTGCGCAATGGTTAAAATCGGCAGCCGCCATGATTAAATTTTATTGCATTTCAGTCCTGACAACTACTTTTTTCATGATTTGAGTAGTTAATTGTGTTTATACTACGAATGCCACGCACCTTGCATGCCTCGAAGGAAAGCGGACTGTGTACATGTCGTTAATCGGCGACTAGATGCTGTGAAGCGTGACAATCAATGGAAAGTCAACCAGCTGATCAGATGATCAATATTTTGAGAATTTATTATCCTGTACACATGTAAATAATTTTGGAGAACTTCAACATATTCGCTTCATGATTAGATAACGGGTTTATAAAAGATGACGATTACGAGCATGATAATCGTCATGCATGCTATACAAGTTTTTGTGCCAGAAAGAAATACTCTGAAAAAATTTAAAGTTCCTCTGTATTTAATCAATTTTCCATGCTCTGTATTTTAAGCTTTAACTTCATTATTTTTCTGATAAAATTTGCAACGTCTCAAGCGCCGTTTTAGTTTTAGAGTAACTTCCCGTTGTTATGAAACGTCGCGTGGCGCTATTTTTAGCACTGGGGCACGTGGAGAAATGAACAAAACTTGGTGAAAATGCAATATTTAGAAAAATAGAACGTTTAGAAAAAGGGGACACTGGTTCAAATGTTCCTTTGTGTTTTGACTTAAAAAAGCACTACCCGTTCACCAGTTTTAGTCATATTTAAATAAACATTTCATACAACAGACTACAACAATTCTCTGATGATTATTAATTTCTGAATAATATTGCCATGGTTACTTTATCAACAATTTTTCTTTACATTCTATTGGAAGGTTACTACAGTTTTGGGCAAATTTTGGTACATTTATAAAGTAAGATACAGGATAAATCATTTTCAATTTTAATTATTATATTAAAAAGTGTTCGTGATTCCATTGTTTTGTGTTGCAGTGGTTAAGTTTGAAAATTGTAAAACCAATCATTGATTAGTTAAGATTAGGAAGTCTTACTCTAACACGCATTAGTGATTTCGGTCACATTTCGCCTTCATGCAGCTTCCTCCATAGTTAAATTTTCAAATGTGGAGAACCCTGAGTAAGGATGCATAACACAAACAAAATTTTGATGCATGGATTGATATGAATTTTTTGAACGGAAATAACATGAACAATTAATCCGTAAAATATAAACAAATCTTAAGTATTCTTTGCTGCTTAGGTATGCACCATTTGTCGTTTTTATGCAATTCCATACAAAATTTTGCGCACATTTTCAACATTGAGTCACAATTTTATAAGATTATGCCACTTTGCCTTGCAAACATTACTCACGTCACTTATCTGAATATAGATCTATAAAAAAAAATATTGCTGAATTCTAAAGAAAAAAGATTTTTTGTGTTATTTATCCAAGTCATTTGTGTCTCTAGGAATTAATGTGACTGCTCTGTGTCGCCCGATACTGTATCGGCCGATCATGTTCTTTCAGCCGACAAGACAAGAAAAATTTAGTCGCCCGACCATCGGCTTAAATGTGACCTACGCATAACTAAATTTTTTGAACGACCGAAAAGGTAGAAAAAAAATACATATTAAATGTACATATATCCGCTAATTAAGGATTTTAATCCGTAATAGAACCAAATTCTCTATCCTTAAATGTCTATTAAGTACATAATTACTTCTGACATTAAATAGAAGCATTTTACAATAGAAAAGAATTGCCCACGTGAAAATGTTAAACATTTCATTAACTAAGCAGTAGATAATTAAAGGAGATTGCATTAAGTCTATGGGGAAAAACGTTTTTATTCAAATAAAAATACGAATAATTGAAATATCATTAAATACTGGCGAAAGACGAATTTACGCATTAGAAATAGAATGACAATTCAAAACAATTTTTTTTACAAGATAAGTTTTTCAGAATTGATTTTTTTATTAGTTGAAAATGAAGGGAGATAACTCTTACCAAATTTCAAGGTCATAAATTACAATATAGGACACATCCGACCCTTACATGCTAATTGTAATAGACGGGAACTATGTCTAATAAACTGAGTATTCTACAGTTACACATAACTTAGTATTCTACA